CGGTTCTGGAAGATGTGGAGGACCCTGGACAAGGTTCCGACTCCGAGCAGGGCGCAGAGAGGCTGGTTGGCCACCAGGAGGGGCCTGAGGCCTGTAGCAGCGGTGAGAGCCAAAGGGAGTGTGATCCTGATGTCATGCATTGGAGCAGTGGGGAGGAGACAAGGGAGCTGGTTCTGGATGCCTGGCAACGGAAGGCTAATAGGCTTAGTTACACAGTCACAGGAGATAATTGAACTCAGCTGGTGGTAATTAGACTCCTCTCAAGACTCCTCTCAAGACTATAAAAGGAATGGCTTTCCACAAGCTCGTCGCAGGAATCAACGTATTTACTAGAGCTGGAGAAGCTATCGTGGCTATCTTGGCAGGCTGGATTGCTGTCAAGGTCTAGTTGGTGCTGGATTTCTGCCAAGGTCTAGTGTGTGCTGGATTGCTACCAAGGTCTAGTCTCTGTGTTAATAAATCCTTGAAGTATCTTTGTCTCGGCGTGCTTTGGTGTATGAAGAGGGGGGTCAGAACACGTAACTAGGTAACATCATCAGTGCTGAAGAATGAGAATTGGTAAACTTCTACTCCTTTCCTATTCCCTGGTGGAAGGTACTTCTACTTTTGTAATACATCTATGAATGAAGAGGACATTCTGTTCTGAGAGAGATGAATCAGGTTTCTGGCTAGAGTTATCAAAGAACAGTGATAAACAAAGGAGGCTCTTCATGGGTAGGAAAAACATTGGCATCACAGACAAGGTCTTGTATGTTTCTTAAGAGCCAAAAACAAAGAGATATCCCTTACCTGACTCATGATTTCTGAGAGGAAGATATAACATCAACTATTTCTACAACTTACATAAGAAACCCTGTAGAAATAAATTCTAGTACTACTAATTTAATTAATAGAAGGATAGAATCAAGATTGTATGAAGTGTTAGTACCACTTTATAACGCCTTGGTAAGACCATATTTGGAATACTGCATCCAGTTTGGTTGCCACAATATAAAAATAAAATGTTGAGACTCTGGAAAGCATGTAGAGAAGAGCAATAAAGATTATCAGAGGGTTGGAGGCTAAAAAAATATGAAGAATGGAGTTGCAGGAGTTGGGTATGTCTAGTCTAGTGAAATGAAGGCTCAGGGATGAAATGATAGCAGTGTTCCAATATCTGAGCAGCTTCCACACAGAAGAGTGGGACAATCTATTTTCCAAAACACCAGAAGACAAGACAAAAATAAATGGATGGAAACTAACCAATGAGAGATACAATCTAGAACTAAGAAGAATTCTCCTAAGGGTAAGAACAATCAACCAGTGGAGCAGCTTGCTTTCAATCAAAGCCTAAAGGAGAAATTTCCTAAAAATGAGAACAGTGTACCATGAACTATGGAATGACTTGTGTTCAGAAATTGTAGCTGCTCCATCACTGGAGCCTTTTAAGAAGATAACAGACAGCCATTTGACTGAAATGGTATAGGGTCTTCTGCTTGAGCAGGAGGTTGGACTAGAAGATCTCAAGATGCTCTCCAACTCTGATCATCATCTTCATTGCAGGATGGAGTCTGGGCAACTGAATGGATCTAACAGAGTGTTTTAATAGCCAGATNGTTGTGGTTGACCTCAGGGGTCCGGAGTGGGCATGGTCAAGATGGGATGGCCAGCTCGATGTCACTCATGTCAGGGGCGCCTGTGGTGGCCCAAGCACTCTGTCAGAGAAAACAGGCTCCCAAGCTCTGTTTTTGGCTGCAATGGCCTCCTGCAACCCCCTGTCAGTGAAAATGTAGCTCAGGAGGGTTTTGGTGGCCCTCCAAAGCTCTGTTTTCACTGACTGAGACACCTCAGGCCAGTACTTCACTGTTTCCAGGCAATCCCATGGACCAGATCTAAACATCTCGCAGGGCAGATTCCTGTTCTAGAAAGAGTGTAGAGAAGAGCAATAAAGGTGATTAGAAGGCTGGAGGTTAAAACATATGATAAACAGTTGCAGGAACTGGATATGTCTATTCTAACAAAGAGCAGAACTAGGGGTGACATGTAACATCTTCAAATATTTGAGAGACCACCACAGCATGTGACAAGAAGGACAAGAAGCAATGGATGGAATTCATCAAGGAGAGATCCAACCTAGAACTAAGGAGAAATTTCCTGACAATAAGAAAATCATTGGAACGGCTTGTCTCCAGAATTTGTGGGTGCTCCATCAATTGATGTTTTTAAGAAGAGATTGGACAGCCATTTGTATGGAATGGTATAGGGTCCCCTGCTTGATCAGGAGGTTGAAATAGAAGACCTCTAAGGTCCCTTCTAACTCTATTATTCTGTATTCTGCAGAGAGGGAGCTGAGGGCAAGAGATCCAGATTATTTCCAAACAGTATTAGCATCTTCTTCATCTGCTTTATTTGCCTTCAGCATTGCTTTTTCTGTAAAAGTAGGCAGTGGCTGCTTTATTCTCAGCAACAAAACCATACATAGTAGTAACATCTAAACATCTAGTAGTGTCAATAACATCCAAGTGGATTCATTATATAGCCCCATTCACTGTTCCTCCATTTCCATTAAGTTCAGTTAAAAACATCTTCTGTTTTCATGGCCTTTTAAGTAAATGTACCATAACAGTAATTTGATCAAGGTGGAAATGCTACATTATCTCCCTAATTTAAATATAGAGAAATAAGTACAAGGCCACACTAGCTTGTAACCAGAGGGGAAGTGGGTTTTAGGTTAAGAGTTCTGTTCTAATAGAAGATAATATACATAGCTCAGAGTACTGATAATGTCACCTGGTTGGGTAATGAAATTCCTCAGACAAATAACCAAACTCAAATACAAGAATCCACATAAAAGTTCTGCCTTGCACAACCTCGAACAAGGCCTTGAGGACTCAGATTGGGATTATTGGGTATCTGTAAAATGTACTGTTCCACAAGTTCATTCTTCTTACTTATATTCTGGACAAGATCAAACTGCTGTTCCAGATCAAACAAGCTTTGTTCAGAGCTTGGTACATCACATCACAGATCAGGTCTAATTTATTAGTATATTATCTGACAGGGTGCAGCAAAGACATTTTTCAGAACAACTGTAATAAATTATGAAAAGAAATGAGAAAAGTCCTAGAAAGTGGGGAAACAAAGCACACTGCAACTGTAATAATAGCAACACTATTTTAAATGGTACTTCTTGTAGGTTCAGACAAAGCCATGTAAGATTGACAAAAAGCAGCCCACAGATATATGTTGTGTGTGTGTGTGTCTGTGTGTCTGTGTGCGTGCGTGCGTGCATGCATGCGTGTGTGTAGGGGAATGATAGTAGAATTCAAAACTTTTCAAGATTCAAAAGAAAGATGTGGATTTGTATTTCCTAATGTTGAACCATATTATTGTGTTATGTTACATTATAACATTATACATAAAACACTACTACCGTGAAAACTGCACTAGCTCCTAATAGAATTCTGGGCACAATTCAAGGTGCTGGTACTTACCTTTAAAGACCTACATGGCATAGGACCAAGTTATTTGAGGGATTACCTTCCCACAAGAACATCTGTCCATTCCACATGCTCCTGTGGTGAGGGTGTGCTTCAGGTGCCTTCTTTTAAATCTCATCATCTCATGGGGCCTAGGAATGTGCCTTTTGTGTGGTGACTCTATCCTCTGGAACTATCCCCACCCCTATATGCAACAGTCTTCTCACCTTGAATTGAATTGAATTGAATTGAATTGAATGGGTTTATTTATAGGCCGCNCTCTCTCTCTCTCTCTCTCTCTCTCTCTCTCTCTCTCACACACACACACACACACACACACACACACACACACACACTTCAAGTAGTCTCTGGCTGCAAATAGTCCAGCCCAACGCTGTAACACCACAGCTACAAAGCAAGAAATCCAGAAAGAACGCAAGGAATCCAGGAAAGTTCAAACATCGGCACTCAACACTCCAGGAATTCAGTGTTTGTTCCCAACAAATGCCCTTCCCCACAGCGTCTCCTTAAGTCTCAGTCCCCAGGTGTGCCTTGTGAAGAGGGGCGGGATGCTCTCCTCCCGAGTAGCCATGTTAGTCTGTGCTGTTCTCGCCTTTTCTCCACTCTCCATGCTCTTGGATCAGGAGGGGGTGGTCCTTGCTCATCGCTTGAGCTCTGTCTCTCATGTTCACTGTTTAGCCTCTCTTCCCTTCCTCCCTGCCTACAAGCTGTCCCAATCCTGAAAGGCCCTGGCTGGGCCTGCTCCTCCACATTTTCCTCCCAAGCCCCCTCATTCCATTCCATTTATTATTAGACTTGTATGCCGCCCTATTCCCCGGAGGGACTCAATCTCCATCAGCTCCAATTCTGGCTCGGAACTGGCCCACCGGCGTTGAGTTTGACAGCCCTGGGCTGGAAGACCTCCAAGGTCCTTTTCAACTCTTCTAGTCTGCCTTTCTGTATTCGGCATCTCTGTTCGTGCATCTCTTCGTGCGTACGGATGCTTAGGAGGCGAGCCTTGTTTGCTGACTTGCTGACAAATGATCTGATGATCAAATGATCCGTGTCTTCTCGTTGTCTCCCCAGCAGCAGAGGCCACCTCCAAGTCCAAAAGGCAGGAGCGTGGCCGGTCCCAGGAACGGAAAGTCCATTCTTCCTCTTCCTCTGAAAAGCAGCGCTTTTACTCCTGCGACCGCTACGGGAGTCGGGATCATTCTCAGCCCAAGTCTTCTGAATGCAGTAGGCCTCCGTCTCCCGGTGGAGGGCAGGACCACGAGACGCAGAAACAGGTGAGAACGGGAGATGGAGGGCGGAATGAGACAGAGAGGGAGAGGGAGAGGGAGAAGGGATGAGAAAGAGGGCAGGGATCAAAAAACACTCAAAGAGTCACAAAGGTCTAACCTGAAGCCTCCCCCCCAATTCTGGAGCCAACCAGAAGTCCGCTTCCCCCACCATAGAGTCTCCTCCTAGCACGGTGCCCTTTTTCCTCTGCCAAACTGGAAGTCCGCTTTCCTCACCATAGAGTCTCCTCCTAGCACGGTGTCCTTTTTCCTCTGCCAAACTGGAAGTCCACTTCCCCCACCATAGAGTCTCCTCCTAGCACAGTGTCCTTCTTCCTCTGCCAAACTGGAAGTCCACTCCCCCCACCATAGAGTCTCCTCCTGGCACGCCGTGCTTTCCTACCCCAAACCGGAAGCTCCTCTCAAAATTATGGCACCAACCGGCAACAGGGAGCCATAGCAGAGGGATGAAAGAGCCACATGCGGCTCCAGAGCTGCAGGTTGCTGCCCCCTGCCCTAGGACCTCTGATCAACATGGGTGGCCTTTGGGTGTGGTTGGACTCCAGCGCCCTCATCCCCAGAGAGTGAAGGCACCACGGTTGCCTTTCCAACTAGAGCAGAGACGAGTCGTGACCAGATGCGCTAATTTTAGCTCCGTGAAATAGGATCTTGCAAGTCTGGAAAGGACTTGACGTTGAACTGGAAGCATGCGGTGGATCTCCTGACTTTTCAAAGGGGGATCACTCAGCTCTCCTAGATTGTTTGCTTCCCCTGTATTGTCGTATTGGTTGTCTTCCTTTGGAATCCTTTCTCCTCCCGGTTGGCTTCCGTGTGTTCCTCCTTCTGTTCAAATGGTTCTGGAGCAGCCTCCCTGCCCCTGACTGTGCATGTCTAAACTCTCTCTTTTCCCTCTTCTGTTTTGTTTCCTGTTTTTTATCCTACGATACATTCCTCTGTTCATGTCATTCATTCTTCTGTCCATTGCGTTTTGCCACTCTACTCCCAACATGCGACTCTGTTCGTCTGGTATTCTTATGATTACTCACTGTCCTTCTCCTTCTCCTCCTTCTCCATGTCTTCCTTCTCCTTCTCTACATCTTTCTTCTCCTTCTCCTTCTCTTTCTCCTTCTCCTCCTCCTCTTTCTTCTCCTTTTCCTTCTCCATCTCCTCCTTCTCTTCCTTCTCCATATCTTCTTCTCTTTCTCCTTTTCTTCCTTCTCTTCCTTCTCCTTTTCCTTCTCTTTCTCCATCTCCTCCTTCTCCTCCTTCTCCATATCTATCTTCTCTTTCTCCTTCTCTTCCTTCTCCTTTTTCTTTTCATTCTCCTTCTCCTCCTGCTCCTTGTCCTGCTCCTCCATATCTTTCTGCTCCTTCTCTTCCTTCTCCTCCCCTCCATGTCTTCCTTCTCCTTCTCTATATCTTTCTTCTCATTCTTTCTCCTTCTCTTCCTTCTCCTTCTTTTTCTTTTTTCTCCTTCTCCTCCTGCTCCTGCTCCTCCATATCTTTCTGCTCCTTCTCTTCCTTCTCCTCCCTCTCCATGTCTTCCCTCTCCTTCTCTATATCTTTCTTCTTCTTCTCTTTCTCCTTCTTCTCTTTCTTTTCCTTTTCCTTCTCCTCCTTCTCTTCCTTCTCCATATCTTTCTTCTGTTTCTCCTTCTTCTCTTTTTCCTTCTCTTCCTTTTCATTCCCTTCCTCCATCTCCTCCTTCTCCGTCCTCCTCCTCCATCTCCATATCTTTCTGCTCCTTCTCTTCTCCTCCCTCTCCATATCTTCCTTCTCCTCCTTCTCTATATCTTTCTTCTCCTTCTCTTTCTCTTCCTTTTCATTCTGTTCCTCCATGTCCTCCTTCTCCAAGTCCTCCTCCTCCTCCTCCATATCTTTCTGTTCCTTCTCTTCCTTCTCCTCCCGCTCCATATCCTCCTTCTCTTCCTGGTTTTTGTTTTGTTCATTTACTTTCTTCCAATCTTCATGTAGGGCAGTGGTTCAGTTAATGGGAGCCCCCTGCTGTTGACCTCTGGTGCTAGCACCCCATGCCGTGGTCGGAGGCAGTTGCCGCAAACTCCGCTGACTCCGCGCCCCAGCATTACCTACAAGACTGCCAACTCCTCGCCTGTGCATTTCTCCGGGTTCCAGACCGGCCTGCCAACCTTCTCCCCGGGACGCTTGAGCCGGGGTCTCTCTGAGCACAATGCTTTGCTGCATGGCGACTCCCAGGGACCCTCACCAACCCTGATGGCACGCATCGGTTCGGACCCTTACCTGGGACACCGAGAAGAGAGTGACAGTCCATACCATACGATGCCTGAGGACACGCTCACCTTCGAGGAGGCTGTGGCCACCAATTCAGGGAGATCCTCCCGGACCTCTTACGTCTCCTCTCTAACATCCCAGTCCCATCAAATCCGCCGCGTCCCCAACGGGTACCATTACGTCTTGGGACTAAGTGCCGGCTCTGGCACCAGCACCCGGGCGCGTAGCTATTACCACGAGCGAGACGAAGACGATTGGTGCTAGCAGGACAAGAACCCAAGTTGCACACTGGAGGTCGATGAGTTTTATCATCCAGACAACCGCCATGTCGAGGTGTGTCTCTCTTTGCATCCAGCCCTGTGACATCAAGGCTGGCGGAGCGGGGGAGGGGAGTGGGAGAAAGGAGATACAAGCAGATGCCTCTCCATGGGAACAGCCCTGCCAAAATAGTCCTAGGCCCGTGGACCACACCGTTGGAAGCGACGTCTGGCCTCCATCTGTCCCCGGCTTCCTCTTTTGCACTAGATAGCGATCGATGCGTCAGGAAGGGCGCCTGGCTCGGAGGGTCTGAGTAGAGCAGATGTCCTTCTGTTCTGCTCCCGATTGCTGTGTCATGGGAGATACCACCTTCTGCCCCCCCTCCTCCAAGTTACGAGGCTACCACAAAAAGCCCAGGGAGAAAACCCTAGACTTAAAAGACTGGAATCTGCACAGTTGCGGGGGGGTGAGCAGGTGGGGAAGACAAAAGAAACCCCCCCCCACGCATCCTGATGTACAAAGAACCAACCTATGTTTTCTTGTGTCCACATTTTAAGAAGGGAGTTTCTCCAGCTGGATCTCAACCGTTGGCCAACGGCAACCCCCTTGATCAACCAAGCCAAGCATGGAAACTTCCAATGGATCCCAGCACCATACGGCTACGCCTACCTTCTTAGTTCCCCCCTTCCGGTCTCCACGTTTTATCTTATTTCGAGTCCTTTCCCACCAGCCCTTTTTATTTATTTATTTATTTATTTTTTTGAAAAAGCGCTTCGAAGGGAGGAGAAAGTTTTGGCAAGGACAACATCTCAGATCTCGTTCTTGCCGTTGAACTTCTCGGACAAGCGTGTTGGTGGGCGCCCCCCCCCCCTATCTTAATGTTAACCTCATTTACAAATCTGAGCTGAGGAGGGGGATGGAGGAGGAGGAGGAGGAGGAGGAGGAGGGCGGGGATGGGCAGCACCGTCGTGTTTTATATTGAGCTGTTGGATAAACATTTCCTTTTCATTGTGTCCACTTTCTGGGGGGCGGCACGGGAGGTAAATTGTATAGTGAAAGTTAGCAGGGCAAAATCACAGCCAAAATGCCGAGAGTCCCCTCCAGTGGAGAATTAGTCTACTCCATTCCAAGATGTTCTTTTTCCCTTTCCTGAAGCCTCCGTTCTTTACTTCTAAGTGCCTAATCTGTGGGAACTTCTTGTGGCAAGGATGCAGTTGTGCTTATATTCCCCACCCCACTCCCAAAAAAAGAATAGAGTAAGAGGTCAAGAAGAGAAGCTTTTCTGATCTTCCTGGCCTGGCTTTTTAGTGGGCGCTCAATATCACCTGGAGGGACGCGGCAGCTCAGCGGCTAAGATGTCGATCAGAAAGCTCTGCGGTTCGGTGGTTCGAATCCCTAGCACCACTTAATGGAGTGAGCTCCCGTGAGTTGTCCCAGCTTCTGCCAACCTAGCAGTTCGAAAGCACGTTAAAAAATGCGAGTAGAAAAATAGGAACCACCTTTGGTGGGAAGGTAACAGTGTTCTGTGCGTCTTTGGCATTGAGTCATGCCGGCCACATGATCACGGAGACGTCTTCGGACAGCGCTGGTCTTCGGCTTTGAAACGGAGATGAGCACCGCCCCCTAGAGTCGGGAACGACTAGCACATATGTGCGAAGGGAACCTTTTACCTTTGCAAAGTCACCCAGAGCTCAATTGGATCTTTTCACTTCGCAAAGGCTGGGAGGGCGATTTTAGAAAATCAAATCAAATCAGTTCCGGTTTTGTTTTAGGGACATTTGATGAGTCCCGGAAGGCGTAGAAAGAAGCTTTCTTTGTTAGGAAGGGTGCTTTTTGCAGGAAAAAATAACCCCCAATAAAAGCGAAGTGGGGAAGGAAGGAATGCTTCGGATTCGGATTTCAAGTCTCTGATCTCCAAGGGATCTCATCCCTAGATTGCGTGTTTGTGTATGGATGTGTGTGTGTGTAACATCTTTCTCTTTTATTAATCTGCCACCTTTTGAACACGTAAATAAGGAGCACTGTTAAATTTTACTTTAGGCCCGAGAAACTTCCGAATGAGGAGCTGAAATGTTGGAGGTCATAAGAATAAAATAATAATAATAATGAGGGCATCTTCAGCACTGTCAGAATTAGCACACATCTTTTTCCTGATAGTTTCCCCTTTAGTGAGGGGACTAATTCTCTAAATAAGACCAACAATGGAGCTCGAAATTTCCCGTGCTGAGCCAGGCAGTTGTTAAGCGAGTCTTGCCCCACTTTCATGACCTCTTCCAGCCTACAGTTGTTAACCGAATCGCTGTGATGGTTGAGGGACTCTTGGCGGTCCTTAACTGAGTCTGGACTTTGCTTGTAGGAAGATGGCTTACAGAGATTGATCACACAACCCTGGGACACGGCAACTGTCATAAGTACATGCCAGTTGCTAAGCATTTAGAATTTTGGTCAGGGGATCGCGAGGAGGGACACAACGGCCAAACACCGTCATCTTTCCAATGCCGTTGTAACGTCAAACAGTCACTAATCAAACGCCTGGAAGTCGATGTCTATTTAAAACGCGAGCGGCTTTTTCTAAATTTGCATTTTGGCATACAAATTAGCCTAGGCAAGTCGTACGGTGTTTTCCCTCTCGTCCGGAATGAAGAATAGACTGTCTTGGTGGAGATCCCTTATTTTTAAATGGATGCAGGAAACCGATTAACCAGAGAACATTTCCGTCCTCCTTGGGTGGATGCGGCGTTTTCTTTTTTCTAAAAAAAAATAAATAAAAATGTGATTATTTTTTAAAAAATGCAACAAGATAAAACTAGGGCTATGCAACGATAGCGGTACTGTTTTTTTTTTGTTTTTTTTCATAACTCCAGCCGAGAGAACGGGAACGAAACTCAGCAAGCCATACTGAGGCCCTTATGCGTTTTCCAACTTCACAACGGGTTGGCGTTTTTTTCCTTCTCCCTCTTCCAGCCAAAAAGCATGACTGTGACCAAATCTTTTCTACGTTTTACCAAATAGGAAGGCACAAATACTTTCTGGGGGAAATCATTTAAAAAATAAATAAGGGAACGAACTCCGCCGGGAAAAATCTGTTTCCTACCAACTTTGTGAATGGGTTGGTTGATTGGTTTTATTCTGTAACCGCTGTCCTGCGATTCCCTTTTTTTTTTCTTATTAAACCAGTATGATGCAACAACCCTGTTGAATTGTAAGTGGCGTTCGCAGCTGCTAAATTACAGGCTGAATAATCGAATGACAATATTTGGGAGGCTGATGTCATCTGGGCAACGTCAGCGGCGGGGCGGGAAGGATGAATCACAAATATTGCCACTGTTGAAATGCATGTAGTGGTGGCTTTGGCAAACTGGCTTTCCACTGGTTCGTAGAATCCACATGTTCCCCCTTTTCAAGGCACACGCCTCAAATTGAGCATCCGAAACGAGTCCCTTCCAGAGATTGTGGTGACTTCAAAGAAACATTTGGGACCCAAGGAGCAGGGACTTCCTCCAGAGGGGAGAACTGGTTTATGAAGCGTTGAAGGAAGCTACAGACTACCGTCAACAAGGGAGAAAGGAGGTTGCTGAGAATTCACACGCTAAGTGGGAGAATTGCATCATTGAGCAAAGTTGGGTCATCAACTCAACTGCGTAATTTTTAGTTGAGGTAGACTTCAGCCTTTCCTTGAAGGTTGACCTTGAGATAGTCTTCAGACTTTCTTTGAAGGTTGCCCATGAGATAGTCAACAGTCTTTCTTTGACTGTTGCCCTTGAGATAGTCAACAGTCTTTCTTTGAAGGTTGACCTTGAGATAGTCTTCAGTCTTTTTTTGAAGGTTGCCCATGAGATAGTCAACAGTCTTTCTTTGACTGTTGCCCTTGAGATAGTCAACAGTCTTTCTTTGATGGTTGACCTTGAGATAGTCTTCAGTCTTTTTTTGAAGGTTGCCCATGAGATAGTCAACAGTCTTTTTTTGAAGGTTGCCCTTGAGATAGTCAACAGTCTTTCTTTGAAGGTTGACCTTGAGATAGTCTTCACCCTTACATTGAGGTCCTCCTTAAGCAAACGGCAACACTTAGTTAACCTTGGAGGATGTTGAAAGTAAAATGGTAAATCAAAGTAGAAGCTGGTTAGTGTTTGCACAAGTGAACACCAGAAAAACCCCAAGGCTGTTGACTATCTCATGGGCAACCTTCAAAGAAAGTCTGAAGACTATCTCAAGGTCAACCTTCAAAGAAAGACTGTTGACTATCTCATGGGCAACCTTCAAAGAAAGTCTGAAGACTATCTCAAGGTCAACCTTCAAGGAAAGACTGTTGACTATCTCATGGGCAACCTTCAAAGAAAGTCTGAAGACTATCTCAAGGTCAACCTTCAAGGAAAGACTGTTGACTA